AGGTGAAGAGTGAAACCTAACAAAAGCTTCCCAAACATAGAGCTTGTCATACTGCTTTGCAAGTCAGAGTCGGTTCCGGCTGAGCCCCTGAGACGGGGACCTTTCTTTGCATTTACCCAAGCTCAGAGGCTGACCACAGTCGGCCTCTACCTGCAACCCCTGTGGCTGTGAACGGCCCTCCTCTGACCCGAAGTCACTCTTGCTCCGTCTCTCATGACTGACTTGCCTCTTCTTTCTCACCGCCACCCACCCGTGACATCCCCAGCGCCATGGCAGTGAGCAGCCAGGTCATTCACCAGGTTCACCGGGTGATGGGCCAACTGTGCGCGGAGCCCTACTTCCCCCTGGTTCTCTGTCCTGGAGCAGGAGGCTCCCTGGCAGAGCTCAGAGCCCTTTGTTTATTTGATCCTGGGCTCTTGGATAAATCAGGAATGTCCTGACATGAACTTAGGCATGTTTTTCTTCCATGGAAAAGGAAACTCCGGCAAATGGTATTTAAGTAGGCAGAGGACCATTCCGGGGGGCTGGCTCTAGTGCCATCAAGGCCGCCTTCCTTCGGTCATCAGACCAGTAGGTAACTTCTTCATTGGCATGCTCTACCCTGGAGCCCAGAAGGTGTGAATTTGAAGCACTTTGCCCCCCGCGGGGAGCCTGGCACCGATGATGCCCTGGGCTTCTTTGAAAACCGTGGAGTGCCGTGGTTGTCTTCCAAGTGGTCTTCTTGCTGTGTGAAACCGGGGCCCAGGGTAGTTGCTTGAAGAAGGCGGCTGGGGAGGCAGTGCACGGGAGAACGTGGCTGCCTGGCCTCTCTGTCTCAAGCCATCTTCTTGGGAGTGGCAGGGTTCTTGACGTGATGTATTTTATGAGTCACCTGCCCCAGGACCCGAGTATCTCTCTCACTTCCAGTCAGGTCTAGCCTCCTATGGTGCAACTGGTTGTCAGAAACCTTTATGGGTCTGGATTCTTTGGATGTAGTGATGTGGGATCCAAGACCCCTTGGGTCTGCCTAGGTATACAGGGTCCAGAGATAGCATCGGAATTGTTCTGGAAACATATCTGGGTCTGTGCTTTGCTGTAGTGGAGACCTGTCAGTCTCCTAAGACAGTCTCAGGCCTTCTCCAGAGCATTGGTTTCCCCCCCTTCCCCCATCCCCAAAAGAGTGTCCAGGTATGTGAATACCCAGGCATTACCATCACAGGGGCAGTGGGGGTGGGCTGGTGGCGCCTTATCTCACTTGGCTGCCCACCCCCAGAGAGAAGAACCCAGTCCTTGGCCACTCCAGGTCCAGGCGTGGCTGCCGCTCTGTTTTGCTGCTTTTCATGTTGTCGGAGGATCTTCTTGGGAACAAATGACTCAGCAACCTGGATCTCCGGGACTGAGTGTGGCATAAGTGCCTTTTGAGGAGCGATTTGGACGGATCCACCCCGTCTCTAAAATTCTGAGCTCAGGAAGAATGGAGACCCAGACGCTTTTGCTCTGCATTCTTCAGGCTGCCATTCAATTTGGGCTCTCGGGTTCCTGCCCCGCTACAAGGATCTCACTCGTGGGATAAGCCAGGCAATGTTTTAATTACACTTCTTGTCTTTAGGAAATTCCAGGGAGAAAAAGGTCCTGGTTGGGGGCCAAAAAAGCAAAACACAGCACAGACCAGCTGCGCTGTGAATCTGGACTTGTCTGTGGCAGAAAGAGTTAACAGGACAGTGGTCTCAGGGTGAGGACCATTTTCTTCTTATGGCCAGCCGGGAGAAGCTCACAGGGCCTTCTCCCAGGGCTCAAGAAAAGATGACGCAACATTTGGTGTGGGACAGCCCTGTCTGCCTTGTGGGTGCTGTCCCTCAAAGAGTTAAGCTGGTCTTGTGGCTGGGAAGCCCTCAGGGAAGGTGTGAGCCTGCAGGGACCAGGCTCTCGATGCCCCAGAGCAGTGAGGTGTGGGGTAAAAATGGGACTGGGGAAAGTGTGGCCAGGGAGCCGAGTGCAGGCCCAACTTTTTTTTTTTTTTTTTTTTTTTTTTGCCTTGTTTGACCAGCCTTGGCACTGCCCTCAGGCTCTCCAGGGGAAAAGCTGCAGTTCTGCTCTTGCAACACAAGGAGCAGACTGGAGAATTTAGATCTGCGTCACAGAGCTCAGAGAGAGAGAGGGGGAGAGGGAGAGAGAGAGAGCGCTCCGTCGATAGGTCTGCTAGCAACAGCCGTGCTGCAGCAGAGAGAGAGAAATCAAGAAACAAGTCATAGCAACACCGGGCACCAGGTTCTGCCAGCTCACTTGCCAAGCCGTTCAGAAATCTGCTGGGGGCCGGAGGCCTCTGGGTAGCCTAGGCTATAAGAGGATGATACGCAAGGTGGCACGGGCGGTTCCCGTGGGGAGGAGGTGGGGGGGGGGGAGGTAGGGGTGGGAGCAAGAGGTGGTGGGGCCACAGTGGAAGACTTAACCGGACCGATTTCTGGAACATTCGAGACTGCGGCATCTTACAGCCGGACCAAGATTTGGGTCTGCGCAGCCGGCGATGGGCGGTCCGATGGGCTTCAGGACTTGATGGCGTAACCCTCTTCTTCCCCCACGTACGTATTTGCTGGGATCGGGGGCGATGTCTCTGCGTATGTGGGCGCTCTGTGTTTCTCACCCCCTTTCTCACTTTTTGCTATTTTTTTCTTGGAGAGAGAGCTTTTTTTCTTTTTTTTTTCCCACTTCAGTTTCTTTTCCCTTCGTGTCAGCTGCTCAGACCTGTTCAGGGGCGAGGAGAGAGGAGCAAGCTTTCCCAGGCGTCCCACCTGACCTCCTACTCTTTATCCTCCTGTTCTCCTGTTGGGCAGACACACGGACTGGTTTTCCAGGTTAAGTGTCAGCACTGTCTGTCTGTCCGAGCAGGTCTCAGGTGGAAGGGGGGGGCGGGGGAGGGGGAGTGAGAAGGAGAGGTGCTGAGAGGGAGGCCAGGGCACAGTTGCCCAGGGGCTGCCTTACTGAAACGCTCAGCCCTGGGAATCTGGCTGGTGAGGAGCAGGTGGGCAGGGTGGGGTGTGGGCTGGGAGACGTGGGGTGAAGCTGGTTGGCTTGTCACTGCGTAGTTGGGGAAAGTGGGGAATGGTGACGCAGTCACTGTTGCATCTTGTTAGGATCTCTGGGGGGACAGGTAGTGAGGTTCCCGGGGTGTGGGGGGCCAGCCGAGAGGGTTTAAAGACGAGCTGAGCGGGGAAGCCAGCATTTAGAGATTAAATGTCATCCCTTTGGCGTTGGAAAGTTGTTTACCTTGCGCGCTCTGTGTCTCCATGTTGGCACCCTTCCAGTTCACATGTGATGGCCTTCCTTGTACTGCTGCATCATTAACTAAGTGACTGAGCTGGCCTTCCATTGGCCAGGGGAGGGCTCTCACTCCAGACACTTCCTCTGATTGGTGGGTTGGCCCGTGGCAGGTGAAAACCTCTCTCTCATTGGCTGAGGGCAAGGTATCAAATCTGAATTTGCATTTCACTTGCTTAAAGGGGAGGGGGGAGAAGCCCAGCAGCTTTCTAAAATCTGTTTAGGGGTGTGCGTATGTGCTCCTGGGTGCCTGCTTTTGACTGACCAGCAGAATCCTCTTCCTGGGCCTTTTTATTTCATGCACTTTAAGGAAGGGGAGCTCAGGGCACCCCAAACTTCGTACAGGGGGAAGGGCTGGGGAGGTAGACAGGTGCACAGAGGGTTGGCCCAACTGGAAGAAAATATCTGTCCTTTAGTTTGGTGTCAGAAAAGGGAATTTTCCAACCAGCCACACCTCAGTGTTGCGGCAAAATAATTCTTGGCTCCCCTGGAAACGCCCGGGCAAGGTAGGGCAGAGCTGCTGCCGCTGCTATTGCCACCCCCCGGGCTTCCTGCTGACTCTGGGCTACTCCCAGGGGGGACCAGAGATTTGCATTGACGTCTGGGGCTGCCCAGAGCTGAGCCCAGTGTGGGAAGGACCTGCCTTCTGGAAGCTGCTGCTCCCTGGCGCTTGCAAAGGTGAGGATGGGACCGACCCCCCGGACGTTGCTCAGAAGCTGCGTATCAGGTGGGGTTTCAGGGAGAGCCCCTGGGGCCTGAGAGGTGAGCCAGGCTTGTCCTTCTGGGGAGAGACGAGAGTGAGAGCAAAACTAGGGCAGCAGGCTGTTCCTCTGGTTGGGGGGCAGGGGACGGGGGAAATTCAGGGTTCCAGCTCCCCATCCCGTCTGTGGTGCAGGTCTCACATTGGTGGGGAGGGGGTCCCCGAGCCCTGCCCTGCGCAGTGGCCCCCGCCCATGACTGCGCATCTGGGAGCACAATGCGCCCTGGGTCTCTGGCCTAGGGCAGCACCGCCCTTCTTCTTACATAACGGAGGGCACGGCTGCGCCTGCTCGGCCCTTCCTCGCCAGCCTACCTCCTGGCTCCCGGGGCCCACGAAGCTGGGGAGGGTCTCACAGGGGAGCCATGAAAGGTTCCGCTCTCGTCCGGTCAGAGGTAGGAGCTAGGTTTGCAGACAGCTGTTCCTCGTATTGGGGTGTAGAACGTAGGCTGTCCTTCTGAGTGCCCGGGGCCACCTCTGGCCCCCAGGACCTCCCGGGGGCATGGGCTGATGCCCTTCCTCCCCTCTTATGCTTCTGGCGTTTGAGAGGCAGTTTCTGAGGGGGACGATGTGCCAGTTGGGAGAGTGAGGAAAGGTTGGGAGGCCCCGGTGGGAGGTGGTTGGCCGTCGACTACTCTTGTCACTGGCCCTCTGTTCCCTAGGTGGGCTGATAATGTGCTTGGACTCCTTTTCTTGCAAGGCTGCCATTTTGGAGGTATGTGTGCTGGTCTCTGACATGGTGGCGTTGGTTTTTCTGGTCCTGCTGTGCCGGTTCTGCAGTGGGCGGGGAGGGGGGGTGCAGGGGCTGTGATGGGGGGGGGGGAGCGGGGGGGGGCATGCGGGGGGGCAGAGGTGGGCATCGGTGGCTGCCGCAGTGAAGGTGGCCCAGTCCCAACCCCAAGCACAGCCCTGGGGGGGGGGGGCTCACCACTGGGGCCCGGGTGTTGCCAGAGCATGGGCCCTGCTGAACCAAGGCCTGGGTCATCATGCCTCAGCCTGAGGCTTAGGGCTGTCGGGCGAACGGCTGGATCTTGGGGGTGGGGGGGCGTGGAGAGGAGGCAGAGCCATGGCAGCTCATCTTAGACGTGTGGGATCTGTGCTTGGGGTTCCCCAAATAGGTCTGCCTGGGGCAGGCAGCCTCCCACAGGCAGGGGTTGGGGGGTCCCTGGCAGTTCGAGGATCTGTTCGGATGACCCTGTCTGTTTGCCATTTTCCCCTCTGTTTGTGCTCAGGCCCCTGCCAGAGCCGATCCCCCGAGCCCAGCAGGCGCCCTGCCGTCCCCATCCCCATCCCCGTGCCATTCCCCGTGCCATTCCCGACCAGCTGCGTGCAGCAGCCATCTTGTCTTCCTGCCCAGAAACGTGAAATGGTTTCTCCTCGATCCAGAGGAGAGCCTTCCCCTCGCAGGCTGCCTGCCGGGGGCTGTCTGCAGCCAGCCTTAGATCCTGTCCCTAGGTGGCCACAGATTCTCGCAAAACCAGGTGACTTCCTTTTGCTTGCTTTTCCCGTCTCTGCTTTCACCGGTGGCATTTTCCGTGGCACCCACCCACCTGCCGCAGTGCCCGCTGTCCCCCGCGGACCTGTCCTCCCCTTCACCAGCGGGGTCCTCAGAGCCACCCCTGCCCCCTTGGGCCCAGCTCCCATGGGCTTCATCCCCCCTTTATGTTCCTTTAGTTGTTGTTTTTTATCTGTAAATCTCACGTCACCTATTAGATTGTGAGCTCACACGTAGCCAGTGGGTGCCTCCTCCCTGCTGGGTCCCCCATCCAGCTCTCTCACAGCGGTCATTTCATTTATTCCTCACCCCAACCCTGCGGGGAGCACCCATGGCCGGTAAGTGTTCTGATCATGGTTCGAACCCTGGTCTCTCAAAGCCTTTGTGTGTTTTTTTTCCCTCTCTCCATCCTCTGTGTCTGCAAAATGCCTTTGAACGACGAGGTAGGTCCCCCCAACATGACTATTTAAGGAATTTTGTAAGCTCCTCATGCGTGGTGGGACTTTGGGTAGCCGGTCCTTTTGCACCTACGGCCTGGGTCCCTTGGCTGGCCCATACCACCCTCATTGACTTTATCCTCTTCGGTTGTGGCCAGTTTCATTCATGAGGCCGGCTTCTTGCTTTATAGCTGATATGGATGGACTGACAAACCTCAGTGATCCTGGAAGAGGATGAGGGGGTTGGGTGGGGATGGTGTCTTCTGAGCAGAAATCAGCTCCAGAACCCAGAAGGGAGTGGAGAGCGTGGGAGGCAGAGAGCAGGGGCGTGGATTGCTCTTGCACAGACGGAGGTTTGCGTCTGGACCCTGCCTCGTCTTCACCGGGTGGTTTTAGACAAATTACTTGATCTTCCTAAGTCTCCGTGTCCTCAGTCAGGAAGACGGCGCCACTGTGACTACACAGAAATGCCTGATACCTTGCCAAGCAAATAGGTTCCCGACCGAAAGTGTGGCTCCCTTGCCCCTACCCAGTAGGTTTGCAGGGACGTGAGGAAGGAACACAGCAGTTGGCTGGGCTCGAGAAGAAATGGGGGCGAGGGGAGCTTGCGTGCCTTCAGGGACAGCAGAAGCAGAGCCAGGGGAGTGGGAGTGCGGAGAAGGTCTCCAGACAGCAGGCACCTGAAGCCTGCCAGGCGTGCCCTTCCCCACCCAGAGTAAATGCCCCTCCACCGTCTGCCTCAGAGCGAGGCCACGGGAACGGAGCCGGAGGACCGGTGGTGGCAGAGGGAGGGTTAACCGGGGCGCCTTCCTGGGAGCCTCTGGATGCCAGGTTAGTTTCCCTCCCCTCCTCGCAGCAGTGGTTGCCTGCTTCCTGCCACGCATCCGTGGGAGGGGAGCCGGGCACCCCGAGGCCCCTCGTCACCAATTCTGGGGCTGCAGAGCGGAGAGTGACGACAGCCATGAGTCGCCAGCCGACGGCAGTGGGGACCCTGGTGACGGCTGCTCTTGTTTTTTTCCTCTCTGGATGATGACTCAGTGCGTTGGGAGCAGGAAGATGGAGCGCTCAGCTGAATGGCCAGGACATTCTGTCAGCGTGAAAGCAGACGCAGCTTGTCGGGGCTGGGAGCTGACCCCGCGGCGGCCACCAGGGTCATTTTCAACACGGGCTGGGCAGCAAGAAGCCCACCGCTGGGTATCGGGGCCGGGGGGAGCCCCGGGGACTCACCAGGGTTCTGTGGGCCCTTGCTTCTTAGAATCGGAAAAGAACATGCAGCTGTTTGTATTTTTAGATGAACTTGACAAACAGGGTCGCTTCTTGAGCTCCTCTCATGAGTCCCAAATGGGAGACATCTTGCCAGGGCCCCTTGGGGATGCCTCCCTGTGGCTGGTTGCCTTGGACAGAAGGTGGGGGTCTCTTCTTGGGGTGGGGGCCGGGCTAGCAGGAGCGCTCCGGGACCCCACGGACAAATGCCCATCGTGGGGATGTGGCATCTTAGGTTTTTCTCAGCTGGCATCGTGTGAAGATGGTGGAGACGCATCCCTGGCCTTAAGCTGAAGCTCAGCTCTTGAGTAGCCTGCTTGGGCCTCCCCTTTCCTGCCTTCCCAAATCAAAGCTTATCTCCCCTTCATCTGCCTCCCTCCCTTCTCAGGGAAAATTATAGACCTTGAGTTCCTGACCTGGGGGTGTGTGTGTCATGGCGGCTCAGAGTTCTAGGCTTTTCCTGAATCTGCCGCATTGCGCTGAGTGCATGTGACCTGCCCCCAAGCCCCGCCTGCCCGCCGGCCCCGCCCCACCATCCCTGCTTGGGAGGAAGGGAGAACACGGAGCTCCATTGCCGTTGAATGGTGGCCAAACCATTATCCCCAGCATCTGGCTTCGCTCTCTCTCCTCCCCCTTCCGTGTCGCAGGGCAGGGGAGCCGACCACCTGTGGGTGGGGACGGAGGGGCAGCCTGGCCCGGGGCTCCCGGCCTCCCGTCCCTGTGTCCCCTTGCTCCGTCTCACGCGTCCCCACAGGCGATGCTGGCACCTCCTCCCTTCCCCAGAGACCTCGGGCGGGACTCACGGGGGACCTCTGGAAGGAGTGGCTTGGGGGCCTTGGGAGGCTGAGGGAGCAGGGAGACCTGACCGAGGTCACAGCGGACAGTTGGTCAGAGCGATGGGTGAGCCGCCGTCCCCACCCAGAGCTCACAGGCAGCACCAGCCCCTTTGCGTCATGTCTCTTTGAGCCTGAGTACAGAGCAACTTGACCTAAAAAAAAATCATCTATAGGTGGGTGTTGGATGCTTTGAGTCTCCTGTTTCCTTGTCCAGAAGCTGTGTGTATGAAGAGAGCCCCGATGCTGTAGTTCAGAGAGCTCCGTCGTCCCTCAGGTTTTGTTGTTGTTGTTTAATAATGTTATTGATTTCAGAGAGGAAGGGAGAGGAAGAGAAGGGTAGAAACATCAAAGATGAGAGAGGATCATTGATTCATTGGTCAGCTGCCTCCTGCGCGCCCCCCACTGGGGATCGAACCCACAACCTGGGCATGTGAATCCAACCATGACCCCCCTGGTTCACAGGTCGGCGCTCAACCACCGAGCCACGCCAGCCTCAGGTTTGTCTTTGAAAGAGCTGGTGGACAGGCCTTCCTTGACAAGACGCTGTGCCCAGTGGCACTGGTCTTTCCCCAGGACGATGGGCCCAGCAAAGTGTTGCTTCTGTCATTGGATGCTGAGCCGCAGCGGAGGGCCACGGTCCCAGGGCCACATCATAACCCTAATGGGGCCTGGCTGGAGCCTGCACAACGAATTGCTTGTGGTTGGCCCCGTAGCTGAGCCCACCTGTCTTCCTTTTGCTTCTTCCCCACAGAGAACTCAAGAGGAGTTGAGCTCCGTGAGTGACAACTTCGTGGAGACACGGCCCAGCTGAGGAGGGTGCTGGTTGCAGAAGACAGCGGCCATCCTGTGGGGTCCTGTGCGCCCGTTTGCATTTATTTGTAACCCCCCAAAAGAGACAGATGCGTGGCAGCCCGGCTCCGTGCAGTAAGTGTTTGTCTGCATTCTTTTATTCCTTCAGACATCGGGAGTGGATAGATGTTTTTTGACCCCAGCCAGCTGCTGTGGCGTCTCCGTTCTGTTCCGGCACGCCCCACCCTTGGTGCTCCGGAAGAGAGGACTGGATTGCTTTTCTCCTGCTGTGCGGAGAGCTGGAGAGAGGCTAGAACTCAGGGTTCAGCCCCCCCACACACACACACACCCCTCTCATTTCGGAGACGTCGGTTTTCCCTAAAATGGAGCCAAAAGCCCGTGTCCCTCAGTGCAGAGTGTTAATGGGCCAAATGGAAGGACCCTGTTTGCCCTCCCTGCCCCCGGCAGGGAGGTGAGGCTCTCAGTTGGCTGGCTGAGGGAGGCTGGTCCTTGCCAGCATCTAGCATGGTTCTCTGCCAAGTTCTAGCTCCAAATCTCTAGGCCGGTTGGAACCTAGACTATATATAGCCTTCGCTAAGCAGTTCTTATCGGACGCGTCTGCCCTCCCCTGTGGGAGAGCAGTAGTTCTACCGGAGGATCAGAACCTCGAGAGTGAGGCGTCTCTCAGGGGCCTTTCATTCTGGGAGGGGCGTGTGTGTGCGTGTGTGCATGTGCGTGTGTGTGTGTGTGCGTGCGTGCGCGTGTGTGTGCGTGTGTGTGCGCGTGCATGTGTGTGCGGCGTGCGTGTGTGCGTGTGTGCGTGCGCGTGCGCGTGTGCGTGCGCGTGTGTGTGCGTGTGCGTGTGCGTGTGCGTGTGTGTGTGTGTGTGTGTGTGTTCGCCCGATTCAGGGCTGCCAAGCTCTCTTCCCCTCATTTAGATGCGGATGGATACAAAGGTCATATGGATGAGGGTACTGATGTAGGAGGGGCTGACAGCCTGGATGGATTTGGACTTTGGACGAGGAGAGACCAGGCCCTGGCTGTGGCCCTGGATGTGGCTGAAGGCACAGCGTGACCCGTGGCGAAGACCAGCCTCTGGTATGTCTTCTGGGTTTCCTGTTTGCCTTGCCTTGACCTCCCCCTTCCTTCTGTTGGACCTCTTGTCTTCCCTGCCTTTCCCCACCCCTTCCTCCTCCTTCCTTTGATTTTCTTTAGGATACATGAGGGCAAGCTCAGCTCCGGCATCCGGGAACTGCGCCTGCTCCCTGCCCTCACCCCCCCCCCCCCCTTGGAGTTTCTGGAAATCTGCCTTCGCCAGGCAGAGGTGTCAGCCGACCTCAGGAGAGTTGGTGGTGACTGAGGGTGTCATGCTGGGTGGTACAGGCAGAGTGGGCTGGATTCTCTGCCTTCTCCCTCTTGCAGGTGCTGTTGAGCCACCGCTGCAGTTCCGGGACCCAAAGTGCTGATGGATGTGGCGCACCACCAGGCTGCTCCGTGGAAACCTGATGCAGCCTGGAAAATATGACTTAACCCCTTCCCGGCCGCCCGGGTAAGTCAGGTGTGGCCTGTCCCCTTCTCGTTTTTTCCCCAACCCCTTCTCTTCCCATGGAGGCCATTTTCCTTATTCGGTGAGGAATCCTTCAATGTCTTCATTCAGAGTCTCCCAAACGACTTTTCTCTCCTTCCCATTCTCTTCCTCCCAGCTCTTCTGTGAACGGGGTTAGTTGCCAGCAGATACCGGGGGCAGGTGGCCCACGAAGCGACCTGGCTGCTGGGGTGTGTGGGAGATGGCTGGGAGGTTGCTGGATGTGGCTGCCGGCAGAGCAGTTGTGTCTCCCGCGTCAGTGACGGGCTACTCTCCTCAGCCCCCAGTATATCACGTAGCCTGAGCTTCCCAGTAACCCCTCAAGGTCCTGGGAACCCTGGCACTGGGGTGTCCTCTTCCCGGAGTCATCTCTGGGGATGTCCGTTCTTACTCTAGCACCTTTAGTCTTGTGGCCTCAGTCTAGAGCTCAGTCTGGAGTGTAGACTGTGGCCTGGGCAGTAGATTTAGGGGCTCTTTCCCTACCTTTTAAAAAAAATATATTTTTATTGAATTCAGAGAGGAAGGGAGAGGGAGAGAGAGATAGAAACATCAATGATGAGAGAAAAATCATTGATCGGCTGCCTCCTGCACACCCCACACTGGGGATTGAGCCCGCAACCTGGGCATGTGCCGTGATCGGGAATTGAACCGTGACCTCCTGGTTCATAGGTTGATGCTCAACCACAGAGCCACACTGCCCGGGTTGCCTACCTTTGTGTGTGTGTGTGTGTGTGTGTGTGTGGGTGTGTGTGTGTGTCAGTGTCACTTTCTTCCTCTAAGCTATTATTGCCTTGGCCTTAAAAAAAAAATTCCACGCCCAGTAAGCCATGGCAGAGCATCTGTAGGCAGTGGATGTAGAAATGTTTTTCTCTGCCTCGCTTGAGGATAATAGCATGGGTGATTAAAAACGATGACGGCTGCAGAACTGGGGAGGCCTGTCGCCTTGTAGAGACAATTCAGAGAGCCGACTCCCGGCGCTGGCCTTGTCGCCGGGAAACCTCACCCCTACCAAGTAGATTCCGGCAACGCTCTGGGCCAGTAGCACTGGTTGGAATTAGCCAGGGCAGCTTTGTCTGGTGTCTGAAGAGAAAAGGAGGGTTGCTGCGTAATTTGATGACACCCTCGCTAACAACCGGAGGCCCTGTGGGGTCCCACCTCTCCGCTCTCTTCCTCACCCCACTCCCTCCCCTGGGAAGGCAGGCCAGTGCTTCCACCATGTTTCAGTTCTTTCATTTCTCTTCCCATCTGAGATGCATCTGTGAATTGGCTCTGAGCAGCCTGAGATCCTCCAGAGCAGTGGTTCTCAACCTTGGCTGCACAATAGAATCACCTGGGAATCTTTTTAAAATCCTGATTTCTGGGCCTCATCCTCCGGAAATTCTGTTTCTTTGTTACTAATGTTGTGGCCCCACCCCATAACAAAGAAACAGAATTTCCAGAGGATGAGGCCCAGAAATCAGGATTTTAAAAAGATTCCCAGGTGATTCTAATGTGCAGCCAAGGTTGAGAACCACTGCTCCAGACGGAGGCACCCAGGGCTGTGGGGATGAGTCGGGTTTCTCTTCCTTCAAGGAACTTGACCAGTCTCAGCCCCTCCAGCAGCCTGACGGGCTACTCTCCTCAGCCATGGAGCAAGCGATGGCTAAGGGTGTTGGGTCTGGAACATGAATAAAGAGGAGGGGTCGACTTTGGTGCTGCTGGGGAGACGAAGAGGCACGGGCCAAGTCCCTCCAGATGTGCCGGCTGTGGGGCTGGAGCCAGACGGAGCTGTTGGCCATGGTCAAGGGGCCTCTGCTCTCCCGTGTGCGGTGCATCCCTGGCCGGGCTCTGGGTGACCGCCACTCCCACTCGCAGCCCTGCCTGTCCAGATTGGGAGAGCCAGGGTGGGCAGCTAAGGTGCCTGTCACCTCTGGCCTTTCCAGACCCGGGTGGAGCTTCCCTGTTGATTTTCCTATGTGTGCTCCTCGCCTCATTCTTGTGTCCCTGCTCACCAGCCGGGAGCACTGTGTGTTGCAAGTCAGGCCAGCAGAGCAGTTGACACCTCCTGGGGAGGGCAGGAGGGGGGGGCGGCGGGGGGGGGGCGGTGCGGGTAGGACAGGCATATCTGGCACTTTTTCCTTGACCTTTGGAACCTTGTGGTCTGGAAGCCAGGAGGCAGGGTGAGGCCTTTCCATCTGAGTCCAGCAGAGGTTAACCGAGCTGGTGGCACCCGAGCTGTGGTGGCGTGGCTTGGGCAGCGGGCATTGGAGGCGGGGCCCTGCCAGGGGACCTGATTGGTCAGCACCTTCTCGGTCCCATTGAATCCTGGTCTGGTCGGGGCTGTGAACGGTTTAATGCATGCCTTGGCTCTGTCCCCTGGCACTGGTGCCCCCGAGGCTGCAGCCACAGCTTCAGAGAGGATCTGTACCTTGTGCCGGTCACTTCTGTGGGCACGTTGCCTTCCTGGGAGATATGTGAGAGATACCGCCTGCCCTTTCCCACCAGCTGGCTGTGCCAGGGAGGCCCTCGCTTCACTTTGCTCTTCTGGGACTTGCAGTGTCTGTGAGGAAAGCAGAGGCTGTGGTTGGGTTCCCGCTGGCTCCCTCCACGGGAGCTGCCTGTGGGCCGATAGAGCCGGGGAACACCTGCAGGCCCCAAGGCCCATGCAGAACCTGATGCAATCATGTTGAGCCTGGGCAGGGGAGGAGCGGGAGGATGAGGATGGAGAACGCCACGTAGGGAGATGGCTGTGTATTGATCGCAGGTTGAAGGCCAAGAGGGCGTGGGAGGGTGTATCCCGTGTCCAGCCAGGGCTGCCTGCTGGGGCCTGGAATGGACGTGTGAGCACTTGGAGCCCAGCTCAGGGCCCGTGCTGAGCCTGGGAGGCGTGGGATGGGCAGCAGAGCTCTTGGTCTCAGCAGGCAGTCCCGGGATAGGGAAACTGACCTGTGTGCAGAGCCCGCCTCTGCTTATCTGATTTCAGCGTCAGAACCACCGTATGAAGCAGGTGTTACTTCCCTCTTACGGTGAAAGAAACTGTGACTGTGAAGTGACTTCACCAAGGTCACTCACTCGGTAAGTGGGGTTGCTGAGATTTCAACCCAGGCACGTCCAAAGCCTGTGCTTTTCATTCTCGCCCGCTGGGGCTGGTGCAGACATTTTGGGGAGCTGAGGCCCTCCGTGGGGAGGCGGCCAGGAGAACGGATGTGAACAGAGTGGAAGGCCAGGCGCCCGTTTTGGGGGGAGGCTGGGCCCAGGAAGGCCCTCTGGGATATCCATGGACGGGCAGGATGGAGCAGGCAAATCCATCCCCTCCTCAAATCTGGATTCGGCCTCTGCAATGTGCCAGGGCCTGGACGGGGTGCTGGGGAGGCAGCATGCTGGTGTGGCGGAGGTAGAAAACAGGAATAAACAGAATAGAAAGGAACATAAAGTAGACGTTCCGGAAAAGGAGGACCCCCACGCATAAGGAGTGGGGGTCCAGATGTTGGTCGGGAGGGAATGTAGGGGCCCGAAGGACCTCAGCCACATGGGGAAGCCATAGTATTCAGGCCTCCAGAGAGTTAGGATGGAGATGGATGCCAAGCCCTCTCGTTCTGTCACCTAGGAAAGGCATCCAAGGTCCGCACAGCTCAGAGGAACTGGCACGGACCTCGGAGGCCGTAGCCATCAGGCCGTGGGTCTCCCGCAGACCAGGGTGTGTCCATTGGCCATGGCAGCCCTCGGGGCTCCGTCTCCCACCCTCAGCGGCGCCTGCTGGTGTCCCTGCCTCAGCCCGGTCACCGCGCCCCTTGCCCCACAGCACGGGCACCTCGGGATACGGCTTTGCCGAGTCACCGGTGAAATATGTGCCCGGGGGAGGCAGAGCTCTGTGCCCAGCCTCTCCTGGCACAGCACGTGCTTCTGAGATGGTGGCGATAGGGAAGGGACAGGCGGAGGGGAAGGGACGAGAAGTCACCCCGTGTTACCGAGGCCTGGGTGAGCCTGATGTCTTGAGGCGGAGGCAGTGGGCGGCTGGGGACGTGGGAGGGAGAGTTCCGTGGGGCCGGCTCCAGGGCCCAGGGCTTGTTTACGTGGCGCCAGCGGAACAGCGGCCGGGCCACGTGACTCAGGCCACGTGCTGCTCCTTCCCTCCTGGCCCCGGGTCACACCCGCTCCCCTCCCCACCACGGACACTGCCCTCTGCCGCCAGGGGCCTGGGGTGGCACGGGGTGCGGTGGGGGCTCAGGGAACGCCGGCTTCCGTGACTTGGTGGAGACGGGTCAGCAGGCCTTGGCTCCCTTGGTGAAAGCCCATTCGCTTTACCTCTTTGGGACTCGCTCGCATTCTCGAGAAAATGAGGGGGTTGGCAAAGAAGCCTTTGGGAGGTTCCTGCCAACTCCGGCAGGGGCTCCCTGGATGTGGGTGGAGGTAGATCTTAGCCAGAAACTCTGGACAAGGGCAGCTGGACCCCAGCTAGGGAGAAGGGAGGGGTCTGAGGACCCGCCTCCAGCGGCAGTCCTGTGCTCTGAAGAGGCACTGATGCTGTCAATCAGGGCAGGCAGGCGGGTGGGGACAACTTTCAAAGGCCCCCTCCCCCAGAAGCAAGTGGGAAGGTGGCTGATGAGGACCCTCCGGTGACAGAGGACGGGGACGCTGCTCCCACCAAGAGGCTTGTCTAGATGGGCCAGCGTGTGGGAGCTGCCGGGGCAAGCTGTGCCTGTGGGTTGGGGTGAGTTGAGGTGCCGTGTTCTAGAAAGATGCACACACTGCTCTGTCTGGCCCCGAGTCCGGAGAGAACATGGGGGTGCAGGCAGGTCCTGTGTGTCCTGGCCCTTCCCCGAGACACCTGCTCGGGGTCTGTGCCCTTTGCTGTCAGGAAGTTTTCCTTTATATTTAGCCTCTTTTCTCATGAGGTTGTTTGCGCCCTTCTATTTAAAAAGAGAGAAGAAGAAAAAAACACACACACAAAAACAAAAATATCTCAGAGCCGCCAGTTCCATTTTGGCTTTTGAGTCTTGAGTCACTAGTTCAAAGGTAGCAAAAATAACACGCGTGCGGGAGAGCCCAGGTCCAGGTCCTGCGGGCGGTTGTGCAAGGCCAGCCCGAGGCCAGCAGGGCTGGGAGCCGGGCCCTGGGCAGCCTCCATCCCCATGGTCCACTCCTTCTCCCCCGGGGCTGAGGGCTCACATCGTGCAGCCCGCTAACCAGAATGCAGGCTTTAAAAATGGCTCCATCTCTCCAAGATACCATCTGCTTACTAGACACTTACCTGGGCTTCAGCACTGTGAGCCCACCGCCCTCGCCCCAGGATGGGGATTTGGGCTGGGACTCTGGCAGGAGAGGAATTGATCGGCAACCGCCCTCTCTCACGCACACCATGTGATGCTCGCAGCTCTTTTCACGTTTTCCAGCTCATTTGGTCCCCACACAGCCCTGCGAGGGTAGATGGTGTTATCCCTATAGTTGATGAAGCTCAGCCAGAGAGTCCTGCCAAGATCTCATCCCTGGTACCCGCTGAATTTGGGTCCGACCCAGGTCCCGACTCCAGTTGTCATTTCCTTGGGTTCCAGCCGTGTTCCGTCGCTGGTCAGTGGGGTGGGGCGGGGCAGGGATGGGGAGCGGGTCTCGGCAGTTGCCTTGATCTCTGTCGGCTGCAGGTCTCTTCTCAGAACACCCGGGGTCTCGTGTTCTCTGATGCTCTCAGCTCCTTGGAGCTCCTGTGAGAACCCAGTGGTGCTTCTCGGCTGGGAAGCAGCCGTTCCCCGGCGTCTGCGAGGTCTCACGCTCCGCACCACTGACCCGGCTGCGCGGCACCTGGCGTGTGCACGCAGGCCCGTCTCCGCCAGGCGGCTCTCTGAAACCAGGCCCGTTCGCGGGGCCTTGGGGGTCTCTCCGGCCGGTGTGGGAGGTCTGCCCGGCGCCTTGCCCGGCGTGCACCTGCGCTGTGTGTGTTACCTGTCTGCTGGCGAAAGCGCAGCGCCTGCCGGGGGGATTGGCTCATGTCCAGTGGGAAGTAAGATGCCGTCCTGGAAACGGGGAACGTTGGCTTCATGGCTGACTCGAAGAGGCAGACCTCCCCCGTGGAGAGGAAGGCGGGTCAGAGAATTCCTGGGCACCTGTGCTCCCTGAATAGTGAGCCTGACCCCCACTCTTTCTAGGGGTGCTGAGGCAGAGCAGGGAACAGCCTGTCTTCTTGGCGGGGTGGCCCTCTGAGGGATCTTCAGTTGAACAGCCAGGGCTTGTAGGAAGGGGGCGAGGAGTGTTGTGTGTTTATTTACTTGACCCGGATGGTTCAGGCTGGATCTGCAGGTGTTCCCTGCGGAAGGCTTAGGATTGGACGGGGCCGCATGCCCGTGTTTGCTCAGGTCGGTCCCTCTGTGCCCCCCGAATCCAGCCTCAGCATGTAGAGCAGCCCTGTGATGGGGAACCCACAGCGGGTAGCTTTGGTGGACGAAGCCGTCTGTAAGGTCCCCTGCGGTGGAGGGAGGTTTGTCCTCTTGATCCCAGTTTTTTCCGTTCACCTGGAGGACGGGAGGATGGCTGAGCCTGTGCAGGGAGGGTGACTTAGGCTAGACTCCAGGGAGAACTGGCTGGCATCCCCTTTGCTGAGGGCTCCCTAACAATGACGAGTCCTCTTTCTCTGGGGGGCAGCGGGGCGGGGGGCGGGGCGGAGGATTGGATGTCCTCCCAGCCCCAGGCCCGTGGACGCTGAGGCTGCCTGGAACAGCATGAGGTGTGGGTCCCAGGGGCTAGAACGCCCTCGGACTGCACGGTCTGTCTTTCTTTCCTGCCTTTGAGGCAAGCCTAGGCTGGGGGGCGGGGGGAGCTCTCGCCTGGTTCCCCCTTGCAGAGACAACTTCTGGAACTGACCCTGTAGGACTGATACGATTTGCAAGTAAAAAAAGGGCAAAGACATGGTGCTCTTCATCCCTATCAGGAAAGAACCCTGAGCTGCTCTAGGCCTGTCTTTGTACCGCCCGCCCTGAGCTCCCCACAGCCCTAGGGACCTTCACTGGGCACTGGAGATGTGGGGGGTAGGAGGGGGTGGGACACGAGGCAGGACCGGGCCTGGTTTGCTGGGAAGAAGGTAGGAGGTAGAAGAGGACTATCTCAGGCAGATGCACTGCTCGGGGGCCACTGGCAGTACCTGCTCTGCTGGAGGCACAGGTGTGTGTGCACATGGGCATACTATTTAGAGGAAACCCGAAGCCGGAAATAAACCCGTTAATGGCTGCATGAGGGTTGTATTAAATATGGAGAACCGGGTAGCCTTTCTTGTTATGACTCCTGCAGCTTTAGCTTCGAACGGCCTGACAGGTGGGGGCCATTTCAGTGGGCCCTCCTTCCTGTAAGATCACGCTTGTTTTGGGTTGCCTTTCTCTCCTTTCTTTGCTGTCTCCACTCTCACCCGTTCCTTTAGCGAGTGAACATTTGCCCATGCACATGTTCTCTTGGGTGGGCGTGGGGTGTGGTGCTTTCCGTGTCTCTGGCATCCTTGAACGTATCACTTTTATTTCGGATGCGAACAAGCCACACGCTCACTGCAGAGATGAGCCATCTCTGAGGGGGCAGGAGCCTGTAGGCAGACCCTCCCCGCCCCTCCTAGTCCCCAGACCCCTGAGGAGGTGAGCATCAGGGGTCTTTGCTGGGACCAGCTCAGGCCACGCAGGGCAAGCCACCTCCTTTTTTTTTTTTTTTTTTTTTTTTTTTTTCAGAGAGGAAGGGAGAGGGATAGGGTTAGAAACATCAATGAGAGAGAAACATCGATCAGCTGCCTCCTGCACACCTCCCACTGGGGATGTGCCTGCAACCCAGGTACATGCCCTTGACCGGAATCAAACCTGGGACCCTTCAGTCCGCAGGCTGATGCTCTATCCACTGAGCCAAACCGGTTAGGGCCAGGCCACTCTTTGGGGTGGGGGTTGCTCACACATGAATCCCCCAGATACTAGCTGGTTCTTCTTTTCAGCATGGCCCCTGAGTAAGAGCCTTGGATGTCAGAGACCACCTGTCTCCCAGCTTGGGGAGGAGAGGACAGGCCAAGAGGCGGGGACACAGGCTCCTGGCCCCTGGCCTCTCGCGACAGGTGGGCTGTGTTCAAAAAGGAGCTCATTTCACCTCTTGGCCCTAATGGAAGTTATTTGTATTTTTCTCTCCCTCTCTCTTTTCCCTCCTCTCTCTCCTTCAACCCACCCCAGCCTCCAAAAGAATTTAATCTGCTGGACAACAAACAATACTGTTATAAAACTTTGAAAACAAGAGGGCGAGGCCTCCCTGACAAGGAGAAGGGCATGCCGGGTAACAGCGAGGGAGCCTGCCAGGCCACGGTGGAGCCGGGCAGGAGCCCAGTTGGCTGCGTACCTGGGTGCCTGCCCCCGTCTAGCCCACCAGCCGTGCCATCGCCGGTCCAGAGGGGAAGGAACTGAAAGGAAACGGGGGGGGGGGGGGCAGAGACGCGCTTGAAAAGGGGAAGTTGTATGTGTTCCCCGTTCTCTGATCTGATGGGAATGCACTAGACTGTGAAACTTCCTCCTCCCCACCTCCCTCCCTCCCTCCCTCCCCCCTCCCTCTCCTCCTGCCTCCTCCCACCACTCACTGTTCCAGGTTCTGAGACTGGCAAACAGAGGCCCTGAGAGCAGAATGAGGCTGGCCCAGCAATGTAGGCACAGCCACCAGCCCCGCCAGCGTCAGGGGAAGCAGGAGAGGAAGGTGCTCGGGTTGGCTTTGGACTCTGGACCTACCCCCCCCCCCGCCCCCATCTGCCCAGCCTCCCTCCCTCCCGCTAGGGAAGTGGAACCATGTCCCAGGGTGTGCCCCGTCCATGTGCTCAGCCAGGTGTGTGCCCAGGTACCGGGTAGAACGGCCACTCGGAGGTTAGTGGATATGCCCGGGCTTCCAGGAGGTGCTCCGGGAGGTGCGTGGCCTGGGGAGAAGCTCTGCTCTCCCTCCAAGAGCAGCGGGGCCTGTGCTGCTACCCAGGCCAGGCGCGGAGGGAGGGCCTCTCCCAGCAGCAGGCCTGCGGGGCTGCGAGTGGGGCGCCCACAGACGCCGTGTCTGCTGCTGCCTCTGCCTGGGGAGGTGGGAGGCTGGGCCTGGCCTCTCTCCCTGGACCTCCAGAGTTAGGTCTCACCTGCGGTGTCCCCTCTGAGTCCACCTGGACGGAGTCAAGGACAGAAGTTGGTGGTTTTCCTCTGGCTCCACATTGGCCTGGACCTGGCCACTGGGTGGTGGGCATTGTGTTTGTGTGACAGGCCGTGGGCACGCTCCCTTTTCCTCCCGTGGGAAGCTCCGGCTCAGGGCTGTGCCCATCCTCCGAGGTCCTGGGCTGAGCCGTTCCCACTCCATCCCGCCTCCTTCCCTTGGCTCCCCTCTGCCTCCTGCTGCCTCCCACGCCCACTGTACCCAGGGGCTGGGGAGCCATGGGACCTCCTCCCCTCCTGCCTGCCCGACCGAGGGTCCCCTGCCCTGAACTGAGTGGGTTTCCAGCCCCAGGTTCTTGCTGGCGGAGTCAGGAAGGGACAGAGAGCACCACCTGGGAGCATAGGCTTCCATACCCCGGGCTCCTGGGAGGCCAGAATTGCCGGCGCTGGGCCCCCACAAGTGAGGAGGCTGTGGCTTCTTGCCCTGAGGCCTCCATGGGCATTTAGGGGCTCTGCGTGGGGATCTGGGGCCTGGGAAGTGTGGTGGTCCCTGGCTGCTGAGCCCCCTTTTGGGGGACAAACAGCCCCAAGCAGAGAGCCATCTCCATGGTCCCCTTCACACGCCAGGCCTCCGTCCCCTGCCCTTCCTTTCACGACCCTTTCCTCTGATTCATTAACCACAGCGAGTTGGCACAGGCCGCACCCTGACAGCTCAAGACAAAGTGTCCAGGACACTGGGCCTGGGCGAGAGCAGGGAGTGACAGGAAGCGGGGCCAGGCCTCTGGGTCCGTACAGACAATGGACTGGGGCTGTCTGGAGGGCAGAACGTTCCGCTTTTTCCGAAGGGCCTTCCCCGGGCCCCTCTCTCAGCACGATGACCCGGCCAGGCCGCCGGGAGCCCTGAAACCAGCATTCCCAGGGGCAGGAAGAAGCCTGATCGGGCTCTGCTTCCGGCACCCCTCCCCCGCCCGGGCTGGAACTTGCGTCAGTCAGTCACGTAAGTGGCTGTGACTCAGCACCCAGCCCTGCGGGGAGGGAGAGCTGCTGCCTCCACGGAGCCTCAGCCTCGGGCTCTGGCTGTGCGCGCGGCCTGGCTGCGCAGAGCACATCAGCTGCGCTGGTTCCTGGGGGGGATATGTGGGTCCCCGGGGCTTGGTGACGGGTTTCATCCACCAGCGTGCCTCTCCTGCCCACTCTCCTCCGGGCTATCTCGTGGGCACCTGGCTGGGCCTGCGATCGGTGGGTCATTAGGGCTTTGAAAGACACAGCGTCCTTTAGAGAATGGAGCGGGAGCTCTCTCTGCCGTCTCCAGACGGTTCTGTCACCGACAGCCAGGCACTGAAGTTAACCCTCGATGTTTCCGTGGGGCTGGCACCGCGGCTGTTGCTGCTGGACGTGTCTGACTGGCATGCCTTCAGACACCACGTGGCCTCCCCGGGCACGCGGCTCCTGGCGCTGCGGCCGCTTCTCTGTCTTGTTTCCTGCAGGGTCCGGCGCCCGACGTGCGGTGACCAGTCTGCACCAGCCTCCGCCGAGGAACACTCCGGGGCCGTGCCAGGGAGGCGCTCAGAGTCGCGAGCAGGAAGTAAAGGCCTGGGTTCTCATTCACTGTGTGGTGACCTATCCTCCGAGCTCGGGTCCCTGCCCAGGCTGGGGAGGGTCCCGGGCATTGGGGGGTGGCGGGTGGGGGGTGGACAAACTGCAAACAGAATGTGGGCACAGAAATGCACTGGGGCTGCGCTTGGCTCCCAGAGCCCCGTTTCTGTACGGGGGCACCTCCCAGGGTGACAAACCCCCTCCTTGGGGTGGGCACTTCCCCTCCCAGGCTGCCCACCCAGCCCTTCTCCACTGGCCCCAGTGTGTACGGGGCCCTTAGGCCAATGGGAGGATCCTGCCCCCTGCAGGCGATGGCAGAGCTCTCCTGAGCTGCACAGACCTAGGTGCCAGGGAGAGCAGGCCCTGCAGCCCTCAGCGGCCTCCCCAGACCCCACCAGGGAGCCCAGCAGCTGCTTGCAGGTGCATCCGTGCTCAGGCTCAGCAGCTGAGAGAGAAGCCTGGTTCTGAGAGAGAAGCCTGGTTCTGAGAGAGAAGCCTGGTTCTGGCAGGAAAGCTGGCACCTCCGCAGACGGTTTCATCCCATAGGATGGGAAGGGCGGACCGTTTGGTGCTGAGATGACCTCCTCTCCCCTCTTCTTCTTGAAGAGAGTTCCCCGTGATGCTTCGCTAATGATTTTGTATCTCTTCTTCCAGAGGACTCGGAGTATTTTAGAACCGGGAGGCTGGGAGCCCACACCCTGGCTGGTGCCCCCTAGTTCCCTGTGACAGCGACAGGGCCCTGGGCTGGCCAGCCGGCCTCTGAACTCCTGGCTGGCGTTCCCTGGGCAGCAGGAGAGGCATAAATTAATCACCCAGATGATCAAATGACAAGTGTGCTCTAAGGAACAGAACTAGACGCTGAGCTGGTGACTTCGCCGGAAGCTGGGCTGAGGGGGTGGGGGCGAGGGGGTCGTTTTCCTGAGAGGGGAAACCTGAAGGGGGACCCCTGCATTGCTGGGGTGGGGGGGGGTGTTGACAGGTAGTAGCAGTGGGAGAGTGGATGGAGAATGTCCCAGAAAGTGGAGCGGCATATGCAGAGGCGGGGTGCTGCCTGGATCCCTGCAGGGTGTCTGTGTGACAGCATCAAGGGGAAGGTGGTAAGGATACTGGCATTGGAAGTTGCTAAGGAAGGAGCGCTTGGCTGGAGAAAAGCTGAGAATGACCCAGTGTAGATCTCTTCGTTGTACACGATTCAGACCGCATGGTAATGGCTGCCATTTAGCACTCGCTCCTGACCTTCCACCCCAGCAGGAACCTGGTTAACAGGCCCCGCTGCTGGCTGGAGGGTCCTCACTCGGCAGAGCCCGCCCAGCTGAGGCCTGGCAGAGCCCCGGGCTGCAGAGCCTGGTGCTGGGCTTCCCAGCGTAGGGGGAGGCTCCTCTCCAGGGGTGCCCACTCCCCACTCCCCACTCGCGCAGGCCGGCTGTGAGCCACTGCAAAGCGCCAGAGGTGCAGGAGCATAGGACCCGCTGCCCAGCCACGGCCCCTGGCGGGACCAGGCGTGCCCCTTCCCAACGCCTATTGTGAGGGTTAAAGAGTGCAACTCGGTGTTCAGACGCTACCGCCGCCTCTTCCCCAGAGCAGGACGTGCCGTTACCTCCAGGAACCATAGAAAACAGAAGCCTGTAGCTAGAGGCCTGAAGGGGGTAAGGAACCTGAAAGATACGGATGCTACTGCCTCCTCTTCCTCACGGTCATGGCCTCAGAGGAAATAGAGACGTGTTTTCTGAGCTTCAAACAACCAGAGGAGACGGGGCCCGCTAGGAGATGGGAAACCTAACTTAAACACAGTTTGAAAAATCTTATTTTCAGGCAGGTGTCCAAAGCAACACGAAACAAAACTCGGTGCTTGCGTTAGAGGGTGATCTACTTGCTACAGGTTTCGGACGCTGGTTTCCTTGGGTCGCACCAGAGGTTAAGTAAGACGGTGGGGTGGTGACACCTATGTGTGTCACGGTGGGGCCCGCGTCCTTCCTGAATAGGGCACAGGAGGGGGTGCCCCGGCCCGGGTGGCAGTCACCTTTGTGTAGTGCTAGCGCCTCCCACGCAGAGCAAGCGAGATCATGCCAGAAAACATCCCGCGTCCTGTGTAGATCTGACGTAGGGCGATCCCGACGTAGAAATGCATGGTGACAGCAGCCACGGCTGCTCGAGCTCAGCACGTGCACGCTGATTGGGAGGGACTAGTGGGGTTAGACGGGTTAGCGGAGAGTTGATGGATTTGTGCGGCGGCGTCAGCGTGAAGCGTCAGCCGTGACTTTCACGCGCCCCGAGCTTCGTTGTGGACCCTCCCGTCTGCCTTCCCAGCGGATCTGGTGACGCCACGCCTGGAACCGCAAGAAGATGTCCTCTCCGGGCCAGAGGCCGGGCCCTCCGATCGCACCTCCCTCTTTTCTCCAGCGAGACCCTCTTCTTCTGGAAGCTGGTTTCACATGGTGGCTTAGATTTTTCCATCTTTGTATCTAGCACCATTTGAAATCAGTGTTTTAGGAGTAAGAATTGCAGCACAGCCGAGGGCCGGCGACGGGAGCTGCGGCTCTGGGGACGGGCTCCTCCGAGGGCCGCCTGAGCCGGGTCAAGACCGAAGCAACTGGAAAAAGCAAAGCACCCCCTGGAGTCTGTTGGGTTTGGGGTAACAGTGTGTGTGTCAGGGGGTTTGAGCAGGGGCCGGGTCGGGATACCGCCGACAGGTAGCCACAGCCACCTGCTGGCAGGGCCTCTGAGCGCAGTGAGGGGCACTGCTGGGCGGGTACTTGCTTGTCGAGGGAGGGGAGAGGGCTGTGCACCTGGAGGACAGATTCGTC